CAACAACCACTTTTGTGAAAACTGTCATAATTTTCTTAGTTTCAAAGCTTTATCTGAGGCAAAGCTTGCAAAACATGAAAGCCTTCAAAAACAAGCTTCATCATCAGGGAAAAAAAAAAAAACTTAGCCAATTTTACCATGATACTTGGATTCTTCTCAAAGAGAATATAGAGGTTTTTTAGGAAGAATAGCTGGATTTTTTAGGGGTTTTTTTAAGTGATTACTAGAAGAGAAACTGTAGATTTGGCTGTGTGATCTGGTTGTGAGATGAGAGGTTTTTCTGTTAGACCATACTTTCTCAAGAACTTTGAATCCAAATGAGGGACTTCGAGACCAAAAAGTGAGTTTGAGAAAATGTTAGGGAACTGAAAAGCCTTTTAGGTTAGAAAAAACTAACCTAAAACTGACTAAAATTTTACTAAATCAAACACAGGTACATATGCTTAAAAGAAGAGTCAGTTAGATGACAGCACTTAGTTTTTCGTTCCTCACTCTGTCCATTTCAGTTCTTCGGTGCCTTCTCTTAGTCGTATCTGGCATGGACAATAGTTGTATGAAAAATATGTTTCTATTTAATCTATATAATGACCTGTGCTCTTTTATGGACTATAAAAGCAAAAGATGTTGACATCATAAAGGTGTGCAGTGAGCAAAATGAAGCATAAACACGTTACGTACGCATTGCAAACAGTAATGGAATTCAGAAAGCACGTAAGACCTTCCTTTAATTCCATGAGAGTTAATGTCTTACATCAAGGTGATTAATTATTGAAGAGAACGTAGAAAACAGCTTTCAAAACTCATGAGCTTGTTCATGTTGCTGTTTAATGGTCTGCATATGTTTCCCTTTTTCTTTCTAATTTTTTAGATAGGATGAACAAAGGATGGTCACTTCCACCTTGAAGGTGTTGCTAGGTGAGGAGGAAAGCTGCTGTATGTTCTTCATGAGCTGCAGCCTCCAGAGACTGATACCCTGTCTTTCCTCCACAACTTCTCTCCCTATTACAGCTATTATGAATGACAGTAACTAGCTTTGGAAAAGTTGCTAACAATATTTTCTTTTACACTGGTATTTTATTTAAAAAAAATCTTTGTTACATTTCTTGATGGAGAAATTGAATCAGGTAAAATACACTGGCTGGATGGGAAGCGATTGCTTTTCTCATGGGGAGCACTGGAGCATGTTCAGGTCAGTGGAGAGGCTCTCCGAGGCCACAGGGCTGTGTATGTCAGTTGAGACCAGAAAACTAAGCTTCGACAGGAGCACTGTAAGCCCTCTAGGAGAAGCAGGAAGCAGCAGACAACTAGACCCCAGAGACAGCAACTTCCGAGGTACCAAAGGGGAATCTTAAAGTGTGCTGCCACCTACAAAGTCATTGATCTAATAGAAACAAAGCTGGGAAGCAGGGACCTGTCTTCAAGGACACTGCAGACTGTGTTCATTGAATACTTCTCTGAAGTTTCCTGACAAGTCTGCTTTTCCCAAAATTATATCTGCTCATAAAGTATTAAAGTGACTAGACTGCTTTCCTTCCCCTTTGCATGAGAGTATCTCTGGGTGCTCTAGGTAAAAGAGTGCTTGTGTTTGTAATATGCACTGCCAAGCTCCTGACTTGCTGATAGATAGTTTGCTTGCCTGACTTTTTCTTCGTTCGTTTGACTCCTACTAACCCATGAATAGTCTGAGATGCCTTCTGCTGGCAGCAGGTTGCCATGTGTGTTATCCTGAACTTAACCAGACTATCCAAAGAATAACAAAGATCTCTGTGGCTGAGGACTGTTACTCTAGGAGCGTGGATCTTTTGAGCATTTGCAGCTCTTGTGTATTCTTGAACTTTCTCATTCTGAATTTGTCACCTTGAACCTCAGTTGCTTCTGGCTGACATAGCTGTTAAATGGTTGTTGGAACAAAGAGTGTACTCTGATCCAGCAGTTTTGGATGTTAAGAGAGAAAGCTTTTCAGTTTAAGGTTCATCCTCAGCTCCTAGCTAGCCCCCTGTCTTGCAGAGGCAGCTGGAGTTTTCCACCTGTCAGTGACTGTTGCCACTGGCACCTAGATTCCATCTTCACCTGTTGAATGGACATTCCCTTTGAAACAATAAGAATGTCCTCCCTTGTCATGGTTTAACCCCAGTTGGCAACTAAGACCCACCCAGCTGCTTCCTCACTCCCCCCTAGTGGGATGGGAGAGAAAATTAGAAGTGTGAAAGTGAGAAAACTCATAGTTTGAGATAAAGACAGTTTCGTAGGTAAAGCAAAAGCCATGCAAGCAAGCAAAACAAAACAAGGAATTCATTCACCACTTCCCATTGGCAGGCAGGTGTTCAGGTGTCTCCAGAAAAACAGGGCTCCATCATCTTAACGGTTACGTGGGAAGAGAAAATGCCATCACTCCGAACATCCCCCCCTTCTTTTTTCTTCCTCAGCTTTATCTGCTGAGTATGATGCTGTATGGCATGGAATATCCCTTAGTCAGTTGGGGTCAGCTGTGATGACTGTGTCCCCTCCCAACTTCTGGTGCACCCCCAGTCTAGTCACTGAGAGGCAGAAAAGGCTTTGCTTCTGTGTAAGCACTGTCCAGCAATAACTATTAGTTAGTATAAAGAAAATTAACTATTCCAGCCGAAATCACCTGATTCCTCGATCATTTTGTAGCTTCAGAGCCGGAAATGTAACATCATGTGTCCCTTATACAGGCTGCAGAATGCAAAGTCGAAACATGAACATTAGCTGCACCTTGGTCTTTTGATTGTACTACAAGATGCTTCAAGAATAATCTTCCTCTATTCATGTTCACGCTCAACAGTTCTGAGTTCGACTGTCTTGCCAGATAACAAGCTGTGTAGGTTTAGGCTATAAGACTGCTGAGCATCAGGGCAGGGCAGCTCAAGGAGCATTGGGGAAATGCTTCTGTCCTGTGTATCTGTCAGGGACTCCTTTCAGACTTCACTGAGCATGCCACTGTTGCTGCAGGCTTAAGGCATGATGTTGGTCTGTTCTTGTTTATGCAACTACTTGGGCATCTCCTTCCAGACCATAGTAATTTGTGGAATATGTTGGTTGGTGTCTTTTAAATATGAATGTATATAGGAACAGACGCATAAAGGAAAGATACCTATTGGTAACAGTACCAAGTTGAACTGGTCCATCCTTACAAATATTTACAACCCTGCCTTCTTCCTTATTCCCCCAGTTTCTAGAGATTTATAGGGTTGTGACCATCTGCATGTGGCTGCACATAAATACGCATACTTCTGTGGGTATTACAAAAGCAGAGGCTTCTTAGGTTTTCTCTGCCTTGCTGTATGAGTACCCTCAGTGTGAATGATGTCATGGATGACATGCTTGGGATTACAGTTAATGAAAAGGTGCTTTCCTCTTTTGTTACTTGTAAATACTTGCTCTAGGGAATAAAGATACAATTGTATTATGCCATCATAAATCTCTTCAGCTTGCATCATGTGTGAATAATGTTCTGGCAGACAAAACTTCACAAAGAAATATTACTTTGAGGCCTCTTACTTTTAGAAGTAATGCCTAACAAGAACGTTACTCGCATTACTCAGTGATCCTGTATCAATTCCAGTATCAAATTACCTCATGTTTACCAAGGAATTGAAAAGGAAGACTTAACTATTGGTTTTTATCCCATTTCTCAAAGGAATTTGCTGTTTCAGAGTTCTGTGTAAATGGAAAGCATTAACTTCACCAGTCATCACTCACTGATATATACATACGGTTTGATATTTACTTGGAAACTCTTGTCTGTCCACTCCTAAGCATTCCCTGTGGGTATCATGATACATATGTGCTACATCAAATTACATGTTACAGCGTATATAGTAAATTATTGTTTACTTATCATTAGTCCACATTTTAATTTTGCCTGTTGTCTTTCAAAGATTTTTGGAAATACGTAAGTAGTAGATTGTAATGCGTTACTGAACTACTATAAACATTTTTTTAAAAACGAACAATTACTTAGAAGGCATTTATATATTTTTACTTACAAAAGTCATCCTTCTAAGAGATGGGATAAGGGGATATGCAGAGGTAGATCCTGAACAGTCACTTAGAAACTCATCATTTGCTGTTCAATTATAGAGCAGAATGGCTCTTTGAGACCAGACTGAAGCTTTGTAGAATCAAAATCAGTATTTGAGACATTAGATCTTCAAGTTAAAATATTGGGGACATATAAGATTATGAGCAATTTGGGGTTTGGGCTCTTTTGTCTGTACTAGTGAGGTGTCTTCTTAACTGATGTAAATGAAAAATATTTAAAATTAAGGCTTTGGTGTTGTCAGAGAAGGCTTAAATATTTAATTACTTAGATATATAGCCTGTTGTCTGTAGTGGGACTCCTTGATAACTTTGTAGAAGTGTGTAAAATTTGCAGTTTGTGGAGAAAACTACATTTTTCTTGATTTTTAAAAGAAACTCCAGATCTTTCACTGGTTTCAGATAGTTGTCACTTCAGGATGAAATTGGCTTGATCTTGGCAATGGAAGGATATTTGGACTCTGAGGCACTGGGAAAATATGTTTTTAAAGGTCATCTATAATAAAAGAAAACTTCTAAAATGTTGATGATTGCTTACCACTGCCCCAGCACATCCCCTGTTTCTGGCTTTGTTCTGTCTGCAGAGCATTCATGTACTTCAGAATGAAATATTCCAGGCTGGAAGAAAGCCTGGGTGAAGCATGCTTGTTATCTGAAAGTATTAAGATGTTTAACAAAAAGATACTGATAAACAGACTTACATTTGAGGGTTTTTTGCTTCCAGTAAGAATAGTAATGAAACTGTGGATGGACTTTTTCAACAGAAAGTAGCACTTCTAAGACTTTTTGTTGTTGTTGTTGAATAGAAGCCATTTTGATTTGCGGGTAGTTTTCTCTCCTGTATGTTTTTCTTTCTTAGCCACCCTGAAACTGATTGCTACAACAATAACAACAATAACAAAAATTGTGTTGTTAATTATGGACTGATTTATTTTCAGATCTCAATAGAGAATGACTACCTAGGCCCCAGAAGAATTGAGAGTCTGCAAAAAGAAGATGCTGATTGGCAGAGAAAAGCCCACATGGCCGTGCTTTCTATTCAAGATCTTACAGTTAAATACTTTGAAATAACAGCTAAAACACAGAAAGGTAGTTATTTTCTACTATCCTACCCATCAGATAAAAGATCTTTAAAAATTTATTTAATGTTTACCATGTCCTGTATTGTACTGTGATTTATTTTTTTCATCAGTCTTCCATGAGGAAGATGCAGCAGTCATTCCCAGTTGTTTCTTGTATGTCTATTCAAATCTTTCACCAATAAGCCTTTTCCAGAACATCATCAGTAGTGAGCAAAATAGAAATTTTCAATAAAAGTTTCACAACCACTTTTCTCAGTGTGATCGTATTAGCTGCACTGTACATTTGCAAAGGATTTGGGAGCATAGAGTCCCTGATGGATTCTGTCTTCTGTACTGGATATGGCAGACAACCATAGTAAGTGTTTATTACCTTTCGATTAATTTCCTTTTCGTGTATCCCCTGCCTTTTAGTAATTCTTTACATAGCTCTAAATATTAAGCAACAGCTCAGTTTAACTGCTTGGTGAAAGCTGCTCTGTTCAGAAATCCTCATGGATATACAACCTTGGTATTTCTGTGCTTGAAGAATGCAGCAGTTTTACTGAAGAGTTGGTGCACTAAAACCAGGCCATATGACTTGCCGTGTACATTTGCGCTTTCATTCTTGTACCATTTTAACTTACATAATCAGTTTGTTAGGGCAAACACACCTGAGGATGGGGTTTCATGTCACCTCTTTTAGTTTGACTGTGGTTACCACTGACAGAGTTTGTGTCCCTGCTTGACTGTGGGTTCCTGTTTCTTTCTTTGCCTTGGTGGTAGTGGTTGTACAACCAGATAAATGAGCTGTACCCTGGGTAGAAAATATTTTTTGATGGATAGGTTTTCTGTCATCTGCCTGCATGACCGCTGGATCTGCCTCAAGCAAAGCAGTCACTAGAAAATGATTCCTTTTGGTGACAATCTAAGTTGAGGATAGCATGAAACTCCACCTCATTTTGAAAAAGTGACTAAACCAGTTCAAGCATGTTGGAATGAACTAGAGAAAATTCTAAATGTATTTAATCACTTTGGTTCCTTTTCTAGTGTGGCAAAGGCAGCAAATAAAATACCCCATTAGTTGAAAAGAACGTATGTTTACAGTTACTTACTTTTTGTTTCGTTCACATGCTTTTTTTATTTACAGCAGTCAGGATTGTGGGGAAAAACACTGGGAAATGAAATGCCTGGAGACTGTTTACAACCATAGACCTTTGGTATACAGGTTGCTTGCCTGTTTTATAATGTTTTGGGTTTTTTTGGCCTCCTGCTGATCACAGGGTGGTCTTACATACCAAAATACTAAAAGATGGCAGAGGAAAACCACATGAGAACATAAAGGTATTTTTTATTACCTAACAGCAGCATGTAATATCTTCTAGCATCTGGGGACTGAATGCTACCCCCTTTGATTGTGTGACTTTGTGGCTTTTGCTTTGCAAAGCTAAGTGTACAGTATCATGTGATTGTTCTATATATTAAAAATGTTGAAAATCTCATGTGTGTCAGCCTAGATGTTGTCTGGGGTTCAAAAATAGAAAATCTGAATTAAGATCAGATTATAATTTGTTTAGTTAATTTGAAGTAATTTTGTGAAACAACCTGCATTTTGTGTTAAAAGATAGATGTTATTTAAATTTAATTTAGTATTCTTACAGAATTACACTTAAGGTCAAGCTGAAATTTTTGTTTTAAATTGTAATTTTTTTTCACTTTGCAGATTTGTTTAAACACTTATGACTGCACTATAGAAGTTATTAAGGGAAACTGGAGACTTTAGTAGCTGATAATTGGTGCTTTCAGAAGTGAGGAAAATTTGGGATGCAGTTTAAAACCACATGGTAGCATTAATGAAATATTTTAAAGTCAGGAATTCTGAACCAGTGGTTCAAGTGTTCAGGTACTGTATATTCAGAATGGTCCCTCTGTGGATACAGAAATTGGAATTGAAATGATAAAATGATCAACAAATAGCTAAATTGCATATTTACATGGATTGTAAGAGTACTTATGTCCTGGATTTGAATGTGAGTACTCTGTAGAACAACTACTCCCTGCTAGGAGAACTTTGTATGCTTTTGGATACAAATGTGCGCATTGTCTCTTCAGCAGAATCACTAGTGATCTGAAGAGTAGACTGATAAATTGCCTTTTCTTGCTTTCTGTAGCTGTGTACGATCGAATGAGAGCAGACCAGAAAAAATTTGGTAAAGCAGCATGGGCAGCAGCAGTAGAACGTATGGAAAAGCTTCAGTATGCGGTTTCTAAGGAGACTTTGCAGTTGATGCGTGCTAAAGAAATCTGTTTGGAGCAGAAGAAACATGCATTGAAAGAGGAGGTAATTTTTCATAACAATAAATAGAAAAATAAAATATGAAGAAAAAAACTATGCCTTGGAAGAGTGTTGATGTACTTAAAACAAACCCAGACTTGAAAGTCATTATTTTTCAGCTTCTACTAATAAAAGTCAGTATTTAAACTTTTACTACACTCTACCATGTTAGACAAATGAGGTATGCAATGTAGATGTGGTGGAATTTATGCCACTTAACATATGTTTCTGTTCACCTTTTTCTGGTTAGTCAGGAAGACAGTTTTTACTGTTACTATTTAGAGCTATCCACTGAGATAAATAAAATGAAGAGAAGGGATAGAACAGAAATCTGCTGCTATGTAATCTCCACAGTTTAGCTGTCAGAGGTATGACCACCTTTTTTGAATGGTTCTGACATTCCAGATGGAAGGTGTCTGAACATTAGTAATTAGACAGATGACTAGCGTGTTGTACTGTATTCTCTTTGTCTCTGATTACCCTAATTAAGGCAACCTTCCAGAAGGCGATTGTGCCAGCCACAGCTTTCATGAGGAAAGAGTGCATGCATTAAACTGTGTTTAAATGTCTTAGCAGAAAAAAAACGACATTTATTGGGTTTTATGAGATGTCCTCAAAAGCAAAAATGCTACAAATTCTCTCCTAAAATTTGCTATCATATGGATATTTGGTGCTAAGTACTTTCTGTAATATAAATTTACATTCTATTGAATCACTTGCCTTTTTTTTAGCGCTTTTCAAATGTTTCAGCAAAATCTAACCAAACTGGTGGCTCTGTTATGAAAAGGTTATCCAGAGAACTCATGACTTTGGCACTGATTGCTCACTGCAATAGATTGGTAGCTTTGTAAGCCTGATCGACTGCCTGTTATAGGAGCTTCTGTAGAAGACAGCCTGATATGCAAGGAAAAGGGAGTACATGCAAGACTCAGAGCATGAAATGGAGCAAACTTCTTATTTTCAACACTCTTTAGATTTAGAAAGCCAAGAGTTGCCTGGAAACATGAGTTTATCAGGCTGTTGCCATCCTTAGCTAAGAGTTGATGAGAGAATCCAGCAGTACTAATTGGAAATATACTGATTGTCTTTACATATTTAGAGCAGCCATGCATCGTGTTTTCCATAGCATATGTTGTTTTTCTTCCAGTGGAGGCCTTCCTTGAATTTTTGTTGAATGAGATCTCAGTCTGGTAAATGAGTTGTTTGTTTTGATGTGCAAAAGCATTAGGGGCTGCATAGCATTGCAGTATAAAGGTGGGTGAAAGTCTCTGAACTGAGAGTTTGGGGTATGGAGAAATGAGGAACATCTGATGTCCATGCAAGGGCACGGTGCTTTGGGATGGTGTATTATAAGGTATAGAGAGCTCTGGGTCAAAACATGGTGGTGGTGAGGTATGAGGACCAGCTTCTGTTCTGAAACTTTTTTTTTTCTTTTTTTCTTTGAGAATGTAAAAACCCTAAGTTCACAAGTTGGGTGTGACAAATGTGACTGGGAATCCCATATTGGTGAAGAAGGGTTGCAGTCTTACCATCAAGAATATATTTGCAGAATTGAAACACTTTCTGTGTCAAACCATTTAGGGACATTACATTAGGGACAGCAAATAAAACCAGGATATTCCTTCAAAAAGACTAAAATACTCAACAAACTAATTTGTCAGGTTTGAGTTGAGGATTAAAAAAGAAAGAACGACAGTTCAGAGCAAAGACCAGATGTAACTGTTTATGAAGACACTGTTGGTGTTCAGCAGGTTGTCTATGAATTTTTGAACACTAAGTCTTGGAAAAGAAAAAAGTTTATAAAACCAGTAGCACACAGTTTTGAAGGGGAAAAAATGTTTCTTGTAGTGCCTGAATTTTTTCTGATTGCCCAGGATACTAATTGTGAGTGATTATCTTAACCTCATTTTTTGTAATATTGTATCCTGTAGTATCATGGCCTGTCTATAGTTGACTCCTTAATTGGTTGGAGGAATACTTTTGTTCCAACAGTTTGCTAGGTATGAGTGAGAGGCTGTCTCTTATGAGTGGTCAGAGTACTCTGTGTTTCACTCAAAATAATTTAGAAAGTCTTTACAATTATTTTCTGATGATTTTTGAGAATGAGCTGCCATATTCACACTGAAAGATGTGAAGTTTCTTTCCTCAGTTTTACTCCCTTCTCCTGAAGTTTCTCAGCAACGGTGATGAATTAAAATGAATACCTGAACTGGAGGACACTCAGGGTTCACATGGGGTAGAGGAACCAATTACTTAAAAGGCTGGGTAATAGAAAATTTAATAACTGTTATTTTTATATATATATTTATTTTTACCATGACCTGCCAGTTAATTACTTCGTAAATGACAACAGATGAGAATGATCATGATCTTTATAAACTGGTAAAATGAGACTGAGCCACCAATGCAACAAAGTGGTACAGCAGCAGATGCTCTTTATCTGTCATACCAGGTATTTCCAGCAAAGGGAGAAGTGTTAGTGTCACTGCACACGGACTTGTCAGATTTCTTTTCTACCTTTCTTCCATGCATTTATGATCAACCAAGAAAGATAGTTCTAACTGGAGCAGTTACAGGGAGGGCTACTACAGTGATGCCAGGAACGGCGAGTCTGATTTGCAAGAGAAGTTGAAGTTGTTTTGACAAATAAAAAGAAGGCTAAGATGATACAAAGTCGCTCTCCACAGAAGTGCTAACGGGAATAAATATTAGTCAAGAGCAATGCATATTGCTGTTCAGTACTGGCACAAGAACAAATGGTATTACTTGATTATGAATACATTGGAAATAATGGAAGAAGTTTCCTGGCAGTTAGGAGAGAGTATGTGGAATGGGCTTCCAGTGGGAGTAACATAGTTTTGTGGAAGCTTTTTTGTTTTGTTTTTATGAAAGCAGAATGAGAACAACAATAACAATATGGAAATTATTTTAAGAACTCAGTTTATAGAAAGCAGTTAGATTTTAGATTTGTCTGAAAGCTGGATTTGATGGCCCTCATGTCTGTATTCCGTGTTTGTCTATTTTTTTGTCACCTGTCCCTTTTGTGTGTGTGTGTTCATAGTTCTTGTCAGAGGCTTTTTGTTTTAACCTGTTATATCTTTATTAACAATATGTGGGTTTACAGGTGATGTATTTCTGCCTTAGAACTATTAAGAAACCTAAGTGCCTGCTTAAGTTATTGTCCTGGTTCAGCCAGGATAAAGTTTTCCCCAGCAGAGAGAGAGGGGGAGGGGATCTCCAGCCGGGTTATTCATACCATGCTGACGTCACGTCCGGGGGCGGAACCCTTTTCCTTGCTCCTTGGCGGGTTCGGGAGGGAATTTTGCTTTCCGTAAACCAGCTAGCGGTATTTCTCTGTATATCGTTTGTCTTGTTCACTGTTATTGCTGTTTATTGTTGTTACCATTGATACTGTTGTTATTCAGATTGTTCTATCACTCTGTTGTATTAAATTTCTTGTTATTTTAGCCAGGGTCTGTGCCTAAGTTCCAGCCCGACCGGCGCGGGTTGGGGAGGGGCAATGGCCACGTGCTCTCTCATCCCAGAAAGAATTAAAAATTGCACATTTATTCACTTAGTATAAATGAGACAGCAAAGACTGTAAGGGCCAGAGAGATTAAATTATATGCTTGAGTTAATGCAGAAAGTTGGGGTATAGCAGGGAATTGAATGCAGATCATTTGGTTCTGGTTCTTTGTCCAACTGCAAAATGTTTTGGGGTTTCTTTTCTGTAACATTCTCATGTTGAAGTTCTTAATGTTTCATTCACCATGTTGATCAGTCTGAGACTTACCAAAGATGCTTTAAATTACTGGTACATTTTAGTTAGGAACTTGTAACATTAAGAATTGAACCACTCTTAAATTTTTAACAAAAAATGGTGACATTTTTCCAGGAGTGATGACACTGATTTGAATTATCACATACATACAGTATCTCACATAAAGTTTTAAACAGAAATGGTTGAAATTAAAGGTTTCCACTTTTCTTTCATGAGGGGGTATTATGTAGCTAGGATATCTTCCTGAGAACCATATGACAGCATTAACTTTCCATTGCTGTTGCACTTGAACACTGCTGGCAGCATCTGTAATGTGTGCTTGTAGGACTAAGATTTGGTTGTCAGACAGGTCCTTTATCAGGCAGACACCAGTGCAGCTGAATGAAATCCTGAACTGCCATAACTTGATAAGCTGATACTTCTGAAGATGGCATGTTTAAAAAAAAAAAAAAAAAGTAAGTTTGAGTGAATTTCACAGTACACTGACAAAGGAAAAGTTTTTGGTTGTTGCAGAATTTTAAATGCTATTGTCTTAAGAAAAAAAAATCAAAACCCAAACACCATTCAGCACCAGTCACACTGGACTGAAATGTGTAAACTATACATTATTGATTGTAGGATTTATGTAATTCACTTAAGAACATAATGAGCTTTTCTGGCTGCTTAGTTGATATACAAAAACTGCATTTGGTAAATATACAATATAGTAGAAGAAATTTTTTAAATAGACATTACAAGAATTGATTCACAGATTTTATGTCTATCAGTCTTACATGAAGTATAATATACAGAACAGTTTCCTTAGTGTTTAACTGAGTTGTGAAATCCCTGTCAACAGATAATGATGCAGGTGCTAAAAGCGTACATGCTATAAAAAAAGGGATAGGACAGATTTATGAAGTAAAATCCAATAAGTATTTTGTATAAAAGGCAGCACAGTGGCTTAAGCTGTGCTGCAAGCTGTACTAGATACTGGTGAAACAGTTTAGGGAGGGATCACTGCAGTGCCTACTACGTTTCGTCTTCCTGTATATTTGTGGTTACCTTTGTCTGAAAGAGGGTATTGAGTAAGGTGGATCTTTGATTTAATTCAGTACAGATAGCTTTCTGGTTTAGTATAGGCATGTGTGATTAATAAAACTGAGAAAACTCATTTCTGGCTATTAATTACAGATACAGTTTCATACATTGAAGAAACCACCATAATGTAAAAAGATACAAGCAAATACTTTTTAAAATGTATAGTTTGCTAGGTCATGTATTTTTGCTTGGGAGACATCCCTTTCTGATTGAATGTCTGTAATACAGAAATTGGACTGTGTTTCATCAGAATGGTAAGGTAGATAGGTCACAAATCCCAGTAATACTTGTAATTACTTTAATCCATTATCTGAGAGAAACTATCAGAGATACATTTTTCTGATCAGGTACTTGGATGTGGCCCTAACTCTTCTGCATGCAGGCTGTAAAGTCGCATGACTTTGAATTCCCGCTAAAGTGAGACAGTAGATAAGATCCTCTTACATGTTGGTATTTCTTAAACATAATCTGAATGACTAACTATTGAGCCCTGAGATCTTGTTTGGCAGAATAAAAGAGGATTATTTTTGTCGATTTTGTTTGTGTCTTGTGTCACTTTTCTGTGACATGTTCAAACATGACACAAATAAGCGCTAAAGTAGATACTTTAATCTAGGTCTTTCATTCTCCTGTGAAGGCCTTCAGAAACAATAAAACGCCTTTACTTAACTTGTAATTACAAGAGGATCAGTGCATGTAATTATCCTTGTTCCCATCACCTTTCACCTTTTTTTTTTTTCCTCTCAGTTCAGCTTTAATGAGAGTTTTAATTGTAGCTTTCTAGATGCAGTTAGCAAAACAACTTTAACAACTTTTAGACGCTTTGGACTGAAGATAAGAAAATACTAATTTTATTATGTATCTTCAGAGAATCAAATGGTAGAAAAAGAGTGGTAGGGATGTTTCATGCTATGCACTGTATGACTTGTCACTTGGACAGTGAGAAAGTGTGATCCAATGCCATGGATTTTTATTGCCATATAGAAAAAATGTCAGATATTAAAGATGTCTGAAAGTGTGTAACTGATCAAAACCTATCTTATCCTCTTGACATGTTACATTTTAACATGTTACATTTAGTGTACCAGACTGTATCTAGCTGTAATTGTAAAGTCTGTGATTTTGTTCTCCTCAGTATCCTGGAGTTGTGTGGTTTTTCTTGGTTGTGTGTGTTTTTTTTTTTTTTCTCTTTTCATTTAGATGCAGAGCCTGAAAGGTGGTACAGAAGCCATTGCTCATTTGGACCAATTAGAAGCTGATTATTATGATCTACAGCTTCAATTATATGAAGTGCAGTTTGAGATCTTGAAATGCGAAGAGCTGCTGCTGACAGCACAACTTGAAAGCATCAGAAGACTGATGTCAGGTGCTTTATGTATTTTAAATAAGACATAATCTATAAAAGAGAATTCTCTCCCTAGGAGTCTAATAAAGCCTGTGGGAATAAAATGAGCACAGATTCTTTATCATGTGAAGAACTGGAGCTTCTAACATAAGTACTGGTAAATTAAAATTTATGCTTGTTCATAAGGTGTATCCATATACATAACATAAGTTTGGGCCTGTGTTTGCAAATAAGCATGTAAGATACTGCTTAAGTTTTGGAAAACTAAATTGAGGGAGGAGGAAATGTCTTCATTACTGGACTTGTCTCATTAAAAATTTGCATTAGTATTATTAATTTCTTTGAAGTGATTGGTTTTCAAGAGGTTTTCCTGCAAATCAGAGTCCTTTGGCTAAACTTTGAAGCTTGCCATGGCCTTCATTGCTGTCTCACTGATTTAGAGCAGTGATGCAAATCTCAAGTTTACAGAACCTCCTATAACTTACGTACTTACAAACTATGGAAATGGTACAGATAAATCATACAGCATTTTTTTAATCCAGTTCTGTCCTTTGGACCTTTCTATAGTTAATGAGTTTATTCACACCAGCTCTGTTTTACTCTTTAGTGCATAGGGCTTACATAGCAAATTTTGTTATGGATAGAAAAGTCATTTAAGAAGAGAGATTTCAAGCTGAGTTGTATTGTGAATTACCTCTGGAAAAAGAGAAAACAGGTATTAATTATGGATTCTTTATGCTGTCATGTGAATCTCCTCCTTTAGGCTTGTAATGACAACAGTCGCAACTGCATGTGTAGAAGATGAGGTTTGAAAACGTAAATGACTTAAAGAAATCTGTCAGCTTTGACTAGGTGCCTCTGTGGAGAGCTAGTTAGTGCTTTAGAGATAGTTTCTGTACTTGGGAAATCAAAATCAAATTTTGGTACTGAAGACATGGTATGGTTTCCTTACCTGTGGACCAAAGGAAATCCCTTGAACAGGAGGCTGAGAAAGAATGTGTATCAAAATCCTTTCTCTCTGATGTAGTAGTGAGAGTAAAACCTAAGGGCCCTCAAGCGTTTAGTTGTGCTGTAAAAACATCATAGGTCATTATGACTTGTCACTAATGTTTTCACTAAACTCAAAAAAAAACCCAACCCCATGACCTGATCCAAAATAAAACAAAATCCACAGTCAGCTAAACAACTGACCTTCTCCTTCCCCTCAGCAACAAACTAGTTCACTATTCTGGCTTCCTTTGCTATTTTAAATTTATATTCTTTAATAATAAATCCAAAAGGGTTGTTTGTTTTGGTTTGGGTTTTTTTCTGTTAAAGACAGCTGTCTATGTTAGAAGTAATTACTCTCTTTTAATAACTCTCGGCTGCTATCCCATGGGACAGAAAATGAAAAATACAGTTCTTAAATGTGTGGGAGTTTTGTTCAAAGGATGAAATTACCTCTTCGGACTTTACTTAGGTGGAGAGGATAGAACACTCAATGTGAAGAATGTGATACTGAAGTAGCTACATGTCTTCAAGACTGTCCAACACCAAATCTGAATGAAATAATTTAAAACATATAGTGGTCTTTTAAAATGTGTTGTTTCCTATGCTGTCAAAGAGAAAAGTGATCTGTTGCATCTTCTCTTATGCTTCCTTTTTGAAGTGTACTTATAGTCGGTAAAGGAATAGCCTTTTAAGTGTGCACATCTGTATGATATGAAATACATGTATCTTAGTGACTGGTAGAGGCTGTTGCTGTTCTTTACTCTTTGACTGTATTGGTACTGCAGAGATACTTCAGTTTTGGATTCTGTTTTGATACAAGGGACATCAGCCATACTACTAGTGAAGTCCCTACAGAATTTTTTGAGAGTGAATGTGATTTGATTTGACTGCCAGTTGGTTGTAATCTAGAAGAAAAACATTTTATTGTACAAACTCAGCACACTGGATCTGAAAAAAGTACCAAAGGATAATAGATTGTCATATTATAAACAACAGTAGTAGTTTTTTACTGTCATTAAGTAAATACCTGCACTGAAATTCACAAAATGTGAATTTATTACATTAGAATTTTAAAGAGTCTTATCCTGTCCATACAAACTATTTGTACATCCTTATAAGAAGGTTTTGTCGTGGATGCACTTGTAAATGCCTTCTTTTAACTCTACCTGGAAGTGTTCTAAAATAAAATTTGCATGTAAACTCTCCCATTTTATAAGTGCATGGCAAAATACAGTTGTTAGCTGTGAATCTTATTTTTATTCACTGATGTCTCAAAGTGGGTTCTAGTGACTTGGCAGTGCTACATATGGATGAAACTTCATAGATTTTATTTTTTAAACTGAGCACTGAAGTAAAGAATCTAGTAGGTCTGGTTTAATTAGATTTTAATATTAACGTAGCATTGTGCTTTCTTTACTGGCCCTGCCATGTTTTCTGCTGAGCTGAAATGAGCACAATAATCATAATTTTGATTGCAGCAGAAACTGTACACACAAATAACATGAAGTGACAACAGCTTTTAAAATGGACAATGTACCGAAGAAAACCCTGCCCCTCTCCCCACATAATCTGGTAGCAGAAGGAGGAAGTTACGGTCTTGCTGAAAGTAGCTGTTGAAGTTGAAATGAGAAGGTTTGTTGGTGCTGCAGAGCAGATACTTGACAGTCATGCCAGCTGTATCTGCCTGTTCCAGCCAGCAGTTATGCATATCCCTCTTGGTGTATTACAAAAAATCCTTCTTAGTATGCAGTGAAATAGGGAACAAGAGGCCTTTGCTGCTTCTTCATCCCAACATTGTGCAAGGATTTATAATCATCACTCTTTCCTTCTTGGCAAGAGATGAGAAAGCAGCATTAAGAGATGAGCTCAATGTTATACTAAATACTCAGGAGACTAAAAATCATGAGTGTTGATAAAACTCTTAGTAATGACCTCCTTTTCAGGCCTGTAACGCTCTGAAGGATTGCCTTGAAGTTACCCTCCCTCTGCTGCCTTTGAGCAGAAGCAGTGACTGGGAGGCCAGAAACCTCCTGAGAGCGCCTTTTTGGTGTTTTGTTGTCCAATTCCCCTTTCATGAAATTAATAGTCAATAGTGGAAGAAGAATCTCATGCCAAAGAGTTCAGAAAGAGTCTGTATATCCTCAACTTTGTAAAGACCAGAGGATATTACTGCACATCGTGTGTCCCTTGTATTAGTTAAGAGATCCAAAGACATGTGTGGACATTGTGATCAAGTTAGGCTACAGACACAAGTGTGTGATTAGCGTTGCTTTTTTTTTTTTTTTTTTAAGTGCTCTGAGCTTACCTGAATACCAGGCTGTGCTTCATTGCTACTGATTTCTGTTCTTCCTATAAACTTTAAAGCCCTACAGTGCTTTGCTGTTTAGTGCTTTTCCTCTGACATTTTCTATAGTGCTCTGAAAGGATGATAGCATTCTTTTGCATTAAATCTTCCAACTCAGTGAAAGGGTTGTTGAACAAAACAAAAGCTTAATGAAATACAAACTATTGATTTTACTTTTTCATTGCTGACATTTTTGAAACAGAGAAGAGAGATGAAGTGGTATATTATGACACTTACGAAAGTATGGAAGCCATGCTTGAAAAAGAGGATATGGGAACATCTATATACTTGCAAAAAGAGGAGCTGCAAAAGTTACAACAAAAAATCCGCCAGCTGGAAGCAAGGCGTGGACGTATTTCAGCCAAGAAAGCCTACCTCAGAAATAAAAAGGTATTATTAAAAAATTTCTAGCATAATTAGCAATTTTAATAAAACTTCAAAAGGTTTAATTTCAGATACAACTTCCAAGCCTCCCAGAATTTTCATGGATTATATTTACTACTTACTAAAGGTTGTTTTACGGAGTACCAAATACAATAGCATGTATTACTAAATTGATCTATTTGAGATTGTTTCCCTTTTACTTTAGGAACCTTTAATTACTTTGAAGTCAACAAAGAAACCTGTTTCTGTTAACTAATGAGAATACTTTCATGTGGAAAGTACATGCTAGAATACATGATTTTACAGAGAGTAGTTTTATATATTTGCAGAAGAGAATTTTCAAGGGAGTTTTCTCACTAATGAGTTCTATTTTCATTCTCTTACCTCATCCTTTTAAATTTATGTAATGTATCATTGATACTCTGTATTCAGCAGATATATATGAAATCCAGTATATATTTTTAATTTGTATAACTAGGTGTGCTACTTAGTGCTATTTTGCTTTTTTGTGCATTACATGATCAAGATGTTGTGCAGAAAAGTATTTTAATATAGCTATTGTCTTGAAATTGTGTATCAAGTGTATATAAATATGTACATTCCTTTTTTCCAGAATCCCTTTTTTATTGTACCGTAACAGTCGGTGGTTGCATCAGTATGCGTTATTAATGAGTGATACAGCTTAATGAGTAGAATAGATCAAAGTTTTGAGAGAGCATTGTAATTCTTGTTATAAAAAAGGTTTGCACCCCATACTATATAGTATAAGTCTATGCAGAAGTCTCAGTTAAGACCTCAGTCTAGCTTGGGATCAGGGCTTGGTGTGGTTGTATGTTCCCTGTGATGTCCTTTAAGGTGGGACATGAGCCCTTTATGTAAACAGCTCTAGTAGTTTGAGGGTAAAGCCTTCAGGTCTTGCCTCCCTTTCATAACTAATTTATCTATTTCTGTATCTGAATCTGAAGCAGATAAAACAAAACAGCAGTTGATACATTTTGTATTTTGGATTTTTTATATTTCTTCAGTAACGGTCCTGTCTCTGATTAACACAATATGGAGAAGACTGCAAATAAATTATTATAAAAGAAAAGACTTTTGTTAGCCAGTTATGGAAAGTAGTTTGCTCAGAGTCATTGGGTTTGTTTATATGAGTTGGTAAAAATAAAAAGTATCAAGAACTTGGGCTTTTGAGTATTTTAAGGAGTAGATCCTGTCATGTTATGCTAATTAATGTAGACTACATTATATTAGTTAAGCAATTTTCTCCTGAATATGAAAAGACATTGCTGGCATCTTACAGAGTAGACAAACCTGTTTAAAAGTGACAGCCTGATTGCTGTTCCTTACTTACAACATACTGGATTTAACAAATCAAGAAGTAACCCTGAAGCAGGAGTAGAGATTTTTTTAGCACGTCTTCTTATCTGTATAATGAACTAATCACCTTCAATTGGCTCATTTGTTTCAAGGTTATGCTGTGATAAAATACCTTGTTTAAACTGAAGGAATTAGTTCTAGGCTGTAACACTAGTTGTAGCATGCCTGCTTGTGTACTGAGAAAAGGTGCAGAGTTATTTATGATAGTATTGCTCATCTGGGTCTGTGTGCAAGAGTAATACAGCAATGTCTACTCAACATTGTGCTGGAAGAATGTTGCTATACTGCTTTCAGGACCTGAGGTAATGTCGCCATGTGGAATTTCACTGCTGGATGTCACAGCATGGACATCATAGTGCTCTCAGAACTAGTTCCAGCTCTTCACTGGTTTCATTGCCCAGCGTAGCATTATCTGCAATTGAGTGCTGCAATGAGATACGTAGCTTTCAGCTTCTAAAGAAATCACAGATTGGAATAATGTGTATTCAAACTTGCAGGGAGAGATAGAATACTTTAATTTGAAGAAAAAAAGTAGTCAGAATCTGTTGTGGTGTGCCATTTTGTGACACTCACTGGGCAGAAAAGAACATAGCCATTTTGATGGATATTTATGGTAAAGGTATTTACTGTAGCTGCTCTTATTATTGCTGACTAATGCAGAGCCCTACTAAGTTTACTAGTAGTTACCTGAAAATCAAGGCTCTTGTGGCTTTGATTTGAACATGAAGAAGCTTTGTATCTTGAGTGACCATTCTAGTGATATCATAAAACATTGTTAATGAGCACTGTTCATAGTGCCTGATATGGGCAGCTGTACTTTATGAAACAGGGAGGAAAAAAGGCTTGTTGCTCTGAAGCGTTTGCAGTTTAAATTAAACATGCAGAACAAAGATACAGATAGGATACAGGAGCAGATTCTAGATGATGAGAATAAGCACAGTAATGACTGAATGCTGACTGGTGAAAAGAATGAGTTTTTGAGGGTTCATTTGGAAAGTACTTACCATGTGGTCTCTTTCTCAGAGTGTGTCTGTCTCTCAATTAAGCAACATTTAATGAGAGTCTGCTTAATGCTTTACAGATTGTGTTCCTTACCATGCTTGTTTCAGCAAAGTATCTTAAAACAGACCTGTAAACAAATGTTCTGTTCTGGATTGGGTTGTTGAGGTTTGTTTTTTTTTTTTTTTTTTTTTTTTTTTTTTTTTTGTGTGTGTGTGTGGGTTTTTTTGTTTTGTTTTGTTTTGTTTTCCTTGTCTGTTCTGTAGTTGAAAACAAAAAGGAAGCTGTACATTAAGTGGTGTATTTCACAGTCTTACGATACATTTAGAAATTACAGTCCTTGTTTATTATTAGGTTATTGTCAAATGAAGATTCCCTTAGGAGAATGCCTCCTTTCTAGCAGCAGATATCATAATTAAGAAAACAATAGGAAATTATTCTCTATCATCTGTTGGGTGTTTTTTTGGAGGAAGTTTCATCAACTGGATATTTGAAAATATCTGCTGTTGAAGAGATAACATAGTGAAAGGGAATTAATTACTTTGTATGGAATAAGACTCTATGTAATACAAATACAAATTGCTGTGACTATAGTCTCTATTACTTTTTTCAGAAATTCCTTTTGCTATTTTTGCAGTTGATCTTTCTTTTTTTTTGTTAATGATGTTGTCAAATAATTGTACCAAACTTTTATTTAGAAACTTTTGCTAAAGGTTTGTTAGAAACCTCATTTAGCTGTGGTTCTGAATAACTGAGCCAGCATTCTTTAAATTTACAGTTTTGGAGACGTTGATGTTCTTTCACTGTACTACCATGCGTATAAACTCTTTATTCTCTCTTTTTTTTAATATATATATATATATATATCACCTATTTGCATTTTTTAAGCAATCATTTCCTGATGTTCCTTTGTGTTGATGACAGTTATTAAAAAATAAGATTTATTATTAAAAAAAAAAAAGATTTAATAGTCTCATTTGTTTTCATATTTCTTGAAAGCTAGTTAACAGATTTTTTTATGAAGGATATCCCTACTATTATCCCAGTCTACCCCCTGCTGGCTGCACAGTAGTATTAATTAGGTTATCATATAGAACAAGCAGCTGTTTTATTAGGGAGATAGATTTATAGCAAAGAGTCGAGTTAAAAAAGGTGATGTAGGAGGCATCTAGAAAAATACTTTTGGAAAAATAGTTGTGCAGAAATTGAATTAGTTTACATCCAGGAAAAGTATTTTTTATCATGAGCAGATGGGAGAAGTAACTGGTTGGTGAAGCTGTTTGAGGTATGTTTGTAATGTGTGCTTTGATCTAGAAAGCTTCTTCACATGCTGTCATGTCCATTTAACAGGACACCTTTGACTACATTGCAAGATCATAGTTTAAAGCATAGCCCATGCTAAAACAGGTGTCATAGGGTTACTTGGTGTGCTTTCATATTATTATTATTGGTGGTGTTATTACTACTACAATAGAAGAGTGTAACAACAGAGAAAACTCCAAGTATGTTTTCTGCACATACTGAGCTTACTAAATGAGAAAATAAGCTTTTACTTAGGATGCTTTTCAATCTGAAAGCAAGACTCACCATAACTAGTTAAATATAATACTAATGCAGATCTATTTTTATTTATATTACATGTTACTAGTCTTAAACGTGGTAATTTATCTAATGATTAGAATTGACATGGTCCCTCAGCTCTCCCTTTTTGTCTCTAGAAGTACAGTTTGATACTGTGAAGTCAGTCAGGTGATTAAAAGACAAATGAATGTTGCTTCTTGGTGCTCTCTGTTCCATACAGTTGGTCACATCTTTCTTAAAGTGTGGCTATTACTGGATGTAAGGCTTTCCCAGTGCTGAGAAGGAAGGACTACTTCACATGTGCAGCAGGCTGTATTCCCGCTCATTACACCCAATTATGATGATTTCTTTATTTGATGGAGTTTTGTCTGTTTATGTTCAACTTGTCATCTGCCATAATCATCCAGATCATTTTGTTTAATGCTGCCACCTGGCTGGTTTTGTTTTTCTTCGTTCTTTGCTTGCAGTCACTTAAATCTTGTCTACAGGTAGAACTTTTTTTTTTTTTTTTTTTTTTTTGACCACTTCTGTAATTATTTAAGATGATTCAGATTTTTAATCAAATGCTGCAACATGTTTTCAGCTTCTCCTAGTCCTTTGTAATTTCAAGTCACAGAGATCTAATTACATTAAAGAAGGTTGTTCATTCAAAGTTAGCACCAAATATGTTTTGGTCTGGTTTATCCTTTTCACATACTTAAAATATCTTTCATTATTGCTCTTAATCAGAAAAATTTAAATACTGATGATAAAGAGAAAATGTTTCATAACAATGTGCCCCCCAAGTGTTTGAGACGTGGAAAAACCCAAACCTAACATACATTTTCCCATTATTTTATAACACTTTTATATCTCATAACATATATTCCTTGTTATTTTATATTACTTTTAATTGAACTTAGCACATAGAGAATAAACTCTAAAGGTAAATAAGTAGTAGTATTACAAAAAGATTCTGTAGTAATATTCTGAAGCTGTTGCTGTCTTTGAAATGCAGCAATTAGGTAGTTTGTACTTTGACAGTTACAATTTAAATGGATTAACTTTTCCAGCTGTATTAATTAAACTTTTCATTAGGGAAAAAAAATCCACAAACAAACACAAAGCCCAGCAGCATTTATATTTAATATATTTATAATATATATATATATTAATTATATATTATATAGATATAGATATAGATATAGATATAGATATAGATATAGATATAATATTTTCCTCTGATGAATCTAGGATGGTATTTCTACAGAAACTTATGCTCTTGTTGGTTACCTGTATACAGTAGCAACACTGATGGTCTTATTGTTTAGAAACATTTGAGACAGCACACTGGCTACCATGGTGGTGGTTATTTTTAGCCCTCCCCTCCTTGTTTTTGTGTCTTTCTGCCACTACTGTAGTATTTTGCTTGATGTCTGACAACCCCATCAGCTGCCCCAAGCAATGGCTTTCAGTGGCAAAGCTCCTGTCTCACTCTACCCAGTAAGTCAAACTGACTGATGCCTGGGAAGCCCATCGTTTTGGTGTTTTAGCTGCAGTCACACTCCAGGCTGCTTCCTGACACTGCCCCCTCTTACACAGCCATGAGATGTATTTCTGATTACACATAAAAGTTTATCATAGTTCTGTGTGGTGCTTGTATCAGGCCTGATTTCACTGTATCTACTGTCTGATTTCCTGGCTGTCAGTATTGTCCTATGAACATGTCACTATTTTAAATTCCTGCACATGCTCTGTTTTTTTTAACCTGTTCTTATTTGCAGGCAATGTAATAAATGCTTGTTTTTAAACCAGACATTACACACACGAACATAAGTGAACCTGCTTGTGCATGTGTAAAATCGTTACAACTTTATTAATGTTTGTGCTTGCAGAGTGTGCATGCAAAAGATGAACTGACACTTGTAAATGAGAAGCTCTTTAGTTGCATAAATGCATATATGTAGTATATTTTGAGAGTTAGTTATTATCCACATACACAAATACATGGAGTTACACAACGGGTTTATGAAGTATGTGACAAATTGGTGTTTGTTGTGACTTTTGTACCGGTATTGTAGAACAAACTTTTAAAGCAGCTGTTAACTTGTGTATATTATTTTGACAGCTAAAATTAATAGGTTTGGGTTTGTCTGTCTTGGTTTTGTTTCTTTTTTATGGTTTTACTCTTAAGTTAGATTAGATTGATTAAATCTTGTTTGAGATAGAAAAGTAAAAATTACAAAGCCTAGTGCTATTGGTGAAATACAACATTATAGCCTGTGAATTGGTATTTTAAAATCATATCCTACAGATAACATTTTCTGTCTCTACAGGAGATCTGTATTGCAAAGCATAATGAAAAGATCCAGCAGCGTCACCAGAGTGAGGAGGAATACAAAATGCACCATACTATTCAGCTAGTAAGTTTGAATTTTCTGCTGTTGAGTTTAGCCTTTAGTTGACAGGTTGCATTCCTCATTATACATTCATTTGGTGAGTATTCAGAATGATAGATGTTTTTAAAAGGTGGTGTGTATCCCTGACCTTTGCACCATGGATTTCTGTATCATATTATGCTGGTAAGGGGGACATAGAACCCAAGCAAATAAAACAGTTCTTTCATGCTAGTTTCACAGTCTAAAATGATTACTGCTAGGGTTTGTCTGCATAGTTTGTAACCATGTGCATATAGATGATTCTGGACATCTCTGAGTATGGCTTCAGATACATAGAGATGAGTAAGGAAACCATACACATTTCTTCTTGAATCTTAATAAGTGTGTTCATTATTTTTCTTCGTTCTACAAAAGAACTAACTTTTGTAAATCTGTAGTTGCAGCTGGATGCTCCGCAATTCTCTGCACAGTCTCATCGCAGAGAACAGGCTAGCCAGTCTGAGTCTTTTGCTGAACATCCTAGCATATTCAAATTCTGGGCTAGGTCTTGGGAGCTGATATAGTATCAATATTTAATAAAGATCACTGACAAAGATGCATTGAAATCCAAGTCTCTTTAATTCAGGCTTCAATTAGATTAGCGAAAGTGATTCTGTTTCATCCTTATACATTTTTAACATTGATATATTTGTGCAGGAAATCAGCTGCATAATTTATTTTATAAAAAGGCTACTTGTGAAAGACAGTACGCACTGGCATACTCTTTCAGGAACTTAGAAAAAAATTCTTGCAACAAGGCAAAGGAGTTTGCTGTGTGGGATTGTAGTCCATTTATCACTTTTAAAAATAAGACTTGACAAAGCTGAAGGATTTTCTTGTCTGTCAAACACTATAGAGCTTTTTTGTTACATATTTTATGGAATTGTATGCTTGTACTATATAGAGAACCTTAAGCTGGGGTGTTTTGTCTTTTTTTCTGTTAATAGTGTGATTGAAAATTTCTACTATTATTGTAAAATAGGTTTTCAGCTGGGGGTTTTTATGAAGAATTTTTAAAAGAAAACCTCAAGGCTGTCCAAACCCAAAACCAAATAAGAATTGTGATTTCACTGTTATTCAAAAACAAAACAGAAAACTCCAAACCAAACCAAAGAAAGAACCCCCTTGAGTTTGAGACTGCTTCAGAAGTTTGATCTGATTGCATATGTAACATGCAGGTGTGGTGGTAGAACTATCCTTTCTTCTTACTATAATATTTTCTTTATGCTTCTGTTTTAACTTCTTTGCCCCATTGCTCTGTTATATTCACTACATGCTTTTATTCCTCTTCACCTTTTCCTGTTTCCTGTCCTTACTATTTTTCAGACCTGTTCTCCTCTTCCTCTTCCTAATGCATCTATGCTTACTTCCTTCCAAATCACAGGAGTTGGCTCTTTATGAAGGACACCAGGCCACTAGGTGACTTCTGAAAATGGCAGGCAGACAGACACTGCTTTTGTGTTCACTGAATGACAGTAAATGTTCACAAAAATGATCAGAATTTTTAATTGTGATGATGAAGATGAGCTTTTAAAAGTAATACTAAATACTGTGAGTCATTTAAAAATTAAAGCTGTTGTTTCTGCTCAGGGTTTTTTCTTTATAGTCACCTGTTCTATCACTTTTCCTGATAACATACAATGACTTTTGCAACCTGATAACTAGTATCCACTTTCAGTAAATTTGAAGAGTAATGTTTTGTTTCAAAGATGTAGTAACTTTGAAGTTTGTGAAAATGGATGACTAGTTAAAGGAAGTTGATCCAAATGTGCATTTTCACTGAGGTAAGATCCCCAAACAAGAAAAAAATACAGCTGTCTTAGCTGCAGGGAAGAGCTTTATTTATTTATTTACCCTGTAAGATTACAGAAAATCAAGCTGGATTAAATAATGACAGCTTAAGTTAAGTAAATAAAAAACTTTTATTTACTGTTGTAAATGATAATGAAAATGTTTACTTAATTTGCTCAGTATTGGATTCAGAACTTTGTGCCATCAGTTCTGTGATTTCTTGCACTGTGAAAATACTAATATGACGTTTAAATGGGCAGTGTTGCAATTTGGACTGTCATTTTGTTCTTAGAGTGAGAGAAAACGGATACTGCATTGCTGTCTGGCTAGTTTATACACTTTTTAATTTAAGGGGGCTGTTTTCAGTTCAGTATTCTGTCACAGATCTAGATTTTCTCATCTTTCAAGGTAACAAGTCTTCAAGTGTTCCAGTTCCAGATTGAAATCTTTCTTTACTGATCTTTGCATTTCTTTAGATTATAAAACATGAATTATACTGTGTTTTAAGGGGAACACAAAGGCCAAGTTTTGAAGTTCAGAAATGTGTTTATTTGAGTAGATTCTTCTTGGGTAATTCTTAACAATCAGTAGAAGAGTAATTTTAATTGATTTTTTAAAATTATGCTAAACATAGCATTTTTGTGTTTTCCATGTATTTTCTCAGAAGCAAGATCAGTTACAAGATGAAGAGGAAAGAAAGAGCTCCTGGGTTAGTCAGGAGCGACAGAAAACACTGGACAGACTTCGCACATTCAAACAGGTAACAGAATAATAGTTGTTCTTTTCGACCAGTTTCTTTTGCAAAAGACATTTTCCCTCATGCCAGGGCTATACTACCCTGTTAGCTATTCTCTTTCATTGTGCAATTAACTGTTCTTTGGAAAATCTACAACAAAATATGGCATTGGTGGTAATGAATTCCTGTGGCTGTTGCATTTCCAGTTCTGCAATAAGCTTCTGTTCAGTCTTATATCTGTATCTTGTGACAAGACACTTAGCAAATATTCCTTAAAGAATTATAATCTAAATGGTATTTCCTCCAAGCATTACTGTCTGACATACCAACACTACTACTGATTGCTAGAACACCTGCCAGTAACTGCCCCCTGCTGTTACAATATAAGTATCAGAAAATGGATAGAAGATGGAATGAAGGGGAAAGAAGCAGCAAAGGGGTAGTGGAAGAAAACAGTATTAATTGGCAAATATATTTTGTTTTGATGAATAGATTAAAAAATACAGGTTTGAGAAGCTTCTTTACTGGAAAGCTGTCTTGTTCAGCAGTACACTTTTCAAATCCCTATTGTTTGCAAGGCTTGAATTGCATAACTTCGGTAAATTAAGGCAAATTTACTTATTTTAATCAGCAACCATTAATGAACTGACTTTATGTATGAGCATGTTTATATTGTTACGATCTCTGTTGCTTTAGATCTACCAAAATTGTGTAAAAATGCATCAGACCTGTTGTCACGCATCTGTCTTTCAGAAGCAGTTCAAATTTTGCAGAAAAATGCCAGTGATGAAACTAATAGGAAAAGACAGCTATTGAGGCAGCAAACTTAAGAACTAGATTAAAAATACTTTGGAAAGTCTCAAAATGTTTGATGTTTTCAAGAGATTCCTTTTTAAGAAGTATGATTCACATTAGGTCAGAGAGGACTTTGTTGCAGAGGGAGCCATTGACCAGTTTTAGAAAAGGAAAGCAAGAGGGAATTTTATATTTGTTTGCATAAAAACCAGTTTTGAATGTACAGTCTGGTTCTCAGTGAAATCCTAATTCTAATCCATGTATATGCCTGACTAGACCAATCACATGTACATTGTGACTTAACCAAGAATAAAAATTAAGAAAATGGATCTCTTTTTTTGCATAAAGGTGAGGATATATTTGCTTTGGTTTTACATCCAGAGCAAAATGAATAAAAAAGATCAGATGACACCCTAACAATGGGTACTTAGATTCTGGAATAGTGTGTTGTATGTACTTATCTAATTGTCGATAACTTACTCACTTTAGCGGTACCCTGGGCAAGTAATACTTAAATCAACCAGACTACGGCTGGCTCATGCAAGAAGAAAATGTGTGGCCAGCTCAGTGTCCTGTGTCAATCAACCTCAGTCTTTGCCAGTGACCATACAAATCCAAGAGAAAAGTGAAGAGGTGGAATTGGAGAATGCAGTTCAGCCTTTGCAAGTGCAGGAGTCCGCAAGCTTAGAACAACTTCAGGATATTTCGTTACCTCCCAATAGTGTTACCTCTGAACTGCCTCGTGTTAGTACTTCTCCACTCACCATTAATGAGCTTCAACCAGAGACTGTTGTACAGCTTCCACCCATTTTGCCTCCACCACCTCCACCTCCACCTTTACCCTCCAAGGAAGATGCCACCAAATCCTTAGAGAAAAGCGACAGCTTGGTTAAACGTCAGAGTGAGGAGAAGGGAGTCCAGCACTCTTCTGGTATCCCACCAACACATCTCTTTGACAGCAGTCAGCTAGTCAGTGCCAAGAAGAAGCTTAAGAAGACTGGTGATCTGGAGGGTTTACAGAGGAGGAGAGGTAATGTTTTAATTTCTGTGTAATTGTAATGCATATCAGTTCCTCTTTTGAATTACTCTATAGAAAAAATCCATAATTATGAATGGGAAGTTGTTAAATACTTTCCAATTGACAAATGCTGGCAACACAAACAGATGTTAGGATCTTTATGACAGTGTATGGTACACTTGTTCAGTTAGAAAACACTTGCGCAACTTAGTCTATGATATATCATGTTAGACTAGCAGGGAGATAAATGTTTCCTAAATGCTTATTTTCCTGTCTAGTTTACAGCCCGCATTGCAAATACATGCTTCACCTTGAGTGTGCAATAGTTTTTTTAGTAGCAGAATTTTACATAATTTGTGACCTAGTAAAATGGGTACTTGTCTTGGGACATAGGAAACCTTGAGAATGTTTTCAAGGTTTCTTTAAATTCTCCTACAAAAATCCACAGACTCTAAAGTACCCTTGAGAGCTGAATAAGGATATATACATATAACTACAGTTGGAAATTAAATCTGTAATCATTCAGTAAAGCATGTTAATAAATAAGTTAAAAGATCAAAAACTTCTTTGGAAACTGAGGAGAATGAATAGATCACAAGGCTGAGCTGGGAGATGTGTTACATCTTGTTGATTCTGTGCTACTTATTTTTAACTGTTTATCCCATGTACAAAATGGGTAGAACAGCAGCCATGCTTGAACAAAATAATCCTGGTGTTTTGGTGAAACATGCTATATTGGAGCGAAGTTTTTATTCAAAAATCAGAGATGGCTTTTTCAAAAGCACTTGGCTGAACTGTTTTATGGAAGTCACTGAGAAAAAGTACATCAAGTGGGCCTTAATTCACACTGCTGTAATATGACTGTAGTAACATTTTATTAAAGATTCTATCTGGCTCTGTCAGCTACTGCTACAGAAAACATCCCTCTATTGATATTTTCCCTCATCCAGATGAAATCAAAATTAGAACTGTCTTCATCAATCAGACAGAAACAAAAGTGTTTCCTCTAGAATTGTCCTTAAATAACTGAAAACCCTTGAAGCAACAGCATAGTTACAGAATTCTTAAGCTCTTAAGAATCTTTCAGGTTGCAGGTACAGTGTCTTAACTTCATCGTCAATTTTGAGGCTGCTGTGCTCCCTTCTTTTTCTGTAGTCCTGTTGTTCATTTTTCTGATACCCCTTTTATCTTGTAATTTTATATAAAGTGCATATTGTGCGTGCAATTTGATATACATCATAAAATGACAAATATAAAATCAAATTATATCCTCCCTCTTATGAGTATTGTTGTCTGCAGCAGCACTCTACCTGATGCTCTGTGTTTCCTGAGTTGTTCCAAGTATTGGCTTCAGAAACTTGTCTCTGTGTGACAGAAGAGTGTTTTTACAATTCTTCCTTCCTCCTTCAAATGTGCAGTCCTATATTATTCTTCTGTTTTTCTCTTGTGTCTGTTCCAGCTGTCTGGGCCATTAGTCAGATGGACAAAGCACACTCATAGATGCAAAACTGAATTTTAAAAATACACAAAAAAGAACTAGAGATGTGTATTAATCTATTGGTTGCTATGTGCTGCATGGTATATGTGCTAGCATATGTGAGCTATTTCAAACTACTGTACTTTATTATAATGCATTGTAGTTTTTCAAAGAGCCAAAGTGTGATTTTTATTTCTGCAGAGAACTAGTTTCATATTGGTGATAAAGGAAGGATTTGTGATAAAGTATTACCACTTCTCTGTTTTCATTAACTGTAAAGGAAGGCAGTTTATACAGGCACTCTGTGACTAGGTGCTAAATACATACATTAATCCAGAGAAGCAGGAAAACGCATGCTGTTGCAGTTGACTGTGCTGCTGCTTTCCTCACTGCCATGTAGTAATAATCATACAATATGTAAAGTTAGCCACAAAATGCAAGTGCTGAGAATAGACTACACAGTCTAATACTTAAGATAGATACTCATTACCTGAATTTTGAAGTCAAAAAAGATAATGTAGTAAACACTTTCATTGTGTTGGATTCATTGCAGCTGTTTTGACTTTCCTGACTGTAAAGAGGAAAGCCATATTGTAACCCCCAGAAGGGTTTACTACCTGCCTGATAGGAGGTTGAATGGTTTCAGAAATTGTAATTGTCTGTGTAGACCAGTTTTGACCTGGTAACAGGGAAGATAAACATGTAGACTAAACCAGTATTGGAGCTACCATTATACTTATGGTGTAGACTATCGGATTAATAGTATGTGGCTACTTTTTGGTCTGTAGGAAATATAAATGAAGGCTGATAAAGTTTAGTAAAAATAATACTGAATTTGATTTACTGCAGTGAGCTCCCCGATGGATGAAGTGCTGGCTTCCTTGAAGCGTGGCAGCTTTCACTTAAGAAAAGTTGAGCAGAGAAGTCTCCCTCCTTTTCCTGATGAAGATGATAGCAATAACATCTTGGCACAGATCAGGAAAGGGGTGAAACTGAAGAAAGTGCAGAAAGATGTTTTGAGAGAATCCTTTACAATTCTGCCTGATACTGACCCTCTGACAAGGAGCATCCACGAAGCATTGCGACGAATTAAGGAAGCATCACCTGAATCGGAGGATGAAGAGGAGAGTTTGCCTTGCACAGACTGGGAAAATTAACCTGTAATTAATCTACATTTACAAAGAAAAATTTCTTCAACACTTTTTGTATAACAATAGCGGCTAAGCCTCAGGTTGTGCATTCTAGGAAACAGTATGAACGTGACTAAACTGACATCCAGTGTGTTAAAACATGCACATATGAATTTAGTATAACTTTTCAAAGAATTTAAGGTTTATAGTAAGGAAAACTTTTTATTAGGCAACATCTTAGCCTTTTATTATCTGAATAATTTTGCTGACAGGACTGATCCTTTAAAAAAAGCTCTTACTTTGTTTAATAAGTTTTAAGTGTTTGCAGCTTACTGAAAGCAGCACAATGACTCTTGGACACACCTTGTACTTATTTTCTAATCACTTTTAGCCTTGTAAAAATTTAGCATGTTTATTACTTTGGACTGAATAGCTCCAAGTGAAGGACAGTTAGATCTGACTGCTGAACACATTGAAATCTCATCGGTTACCCCGTGTGACTGAGTCTTTGATAGTTTGGTTTCACTCTGTAAAATCTATTGACTTAACTGAATTTCCAGACTATTAATAGTAAATATACAAATATAATTTATACTTCTGCTATTCATACAAATCCCATGAACTTTCCTTATACTAAGATACAGTGCCTGAAAGTACAGATAGTGGACTTCAGCAGATGAATTCAATGATAGCAGAACAAACTAGAAATTACCAGGAGATTAGTTTTTAAAATTATGGCTGCATCAGTAGCACAAAGGGGTTCTTGATTACAATAACAGCATATAGTGCTGTTCTTCTGTGGTGGTTCTTCTCTGATAGTGGCATGTGGATGAACTTAGGTCTTAATGAAAGTTCCCACTAAACTTAAAATTTGGAGAAAAGAAAGGTATGACAATCTAAAGAATTTTAAAATCTGTTAAGAAATTAAAGTTATTTTGAGAGTATGGAAGATAAATATTTATAATCCTTGCAACACAGCTAGCAGTAGGAAAAAGATAACCTTTCTGGATATTTACAGTCAGGTATTTCTGCCCTGGTTAGTTATTACCGTAACTGGAGAATGATTGGTAAAGCATTACAGCTGTTTAAAAAGTGGTGGTGACTTAGCACATCATCTGCTGAATGTTGTTGTGATTATGAAATACTATGTCTCAAACTGTTCCATGGTGTGCTATTTTCAAGTAATAATATTTAAAATTTTTGAAAAGGAAAATAAATGTTGCCTTTATTTCCTCATGAACTAGCCATTGGCCACACTAATGATTTCATACTGTTTAATTATGGGCATGCTCCCTCTATTCCACACCAAATGTACTGCTAGTTCTGGAGTTGAAAATCCAGGAGTGGAGTTGTACTTAACTCTTGCTGAAACTCAAAGTGAAAATAATTTTGCTTGGATGATACTTTATTCTCTACTTACATACTGAAAACTCACTACCACAGTCCTTCAGAAATCAAGTGACAGCTATAAGAAAAGACATGGCTCGGAATTGACTGGGCTTTCTTAATGCAATTATTCCCTTTTCATTTCACAGACAACTGAGCAAATATAAACTTTGATTTGACTTTACAATTTCAGTAAAGCTAAACTTACTCTTTGAGATTGTCTTTTTTTAGCAAGAATATGCTTTAATACTAGGGGCTATCTAAAAAAAAAAAAAAAAAAGGTGAAGGAATTTTCCAAGAGTGACTTTGAATTTTTTTTTCATCTAGTTGGTGGACCTCCTAAACAGTTTCCATTGGAAGTGTATCCTCTCAGAAGTCTCATGTGTACATTGCCATACAATATAAATACATGTTTTCCTCTACTGTCTTTTGCAGCCCTATAGAAGCAGTTCAGACTGCAGGCTGAAAAATCACTGCTGTGCAGTACCTGTAGTGCACTGGTTGTTGTCTCCTTTTTACCAGTCTACAGTTGTGGTATCTTCCCCTTTTAAGGATGCACTCCTGTCAAATGCTGGTCCCGTGAAATCACTTGGACCTAAAGCAGGATGGATGCAGTATCAGAGTTCTGAGTGTGTGCCTCTTGGACTTCTTCACACATCTGAGACCTGCTTTCTCTTTCCAATATCCTATTTTATTATAAAAGCAATCCTGTTTTCATGAGATGAGACTATTTAACAGATAGTACAGATCTGATTGAAAAGTGATTGTTCAAAATAGCTAACAGCTCAGAAAGGAAAAATGGGACCCTGCTAAGGAAGAGTGTGAAATAATCTGGGAGAACAGAGATTGAGACAAACACCTAGTGGAATTCAGCTGAAAAAATGCTTTTCACATAGATGAGCGTGCTTGCCTGAATGTACAGACTGGTTATCCTGAACTTACTACACGAGTAAAATCTGATGGAAGTCTGTTGTAGAAATTTCAGAATAGTATTTTTTAATAAAAGGTTGTCCATTTAATACCATGCTTTAGGACTGACCTACAGATTTTTAACTGGAAGCCCTGCACATGCAAAAACCAGTTGCATAGATATTGGGTTGAAAACAGTTATACAAACATATATTGGCACATATGTTATGAATTATGTTAATACATGTATATCCTTACAGGCTAAATGTAATGCAGTTATTTGCCTTAGGAATGAAGGCTAAATCTGATCTAATTATGTATGTTGTATCAAGTGCCAAAGTGTCTTAATGTATGTGTAAGGAGTATTAACATTGCCCACTGAAATAGTTTCATTAATTACTGAAGTTTGAAGGTAAACTAATAGCAGTTCCTGGAAGAGATCTAGTCCTCTCTTGTATTACCTGCTTTATGAGTTAACTTCTACATAAAGTTATGACGAACTTTTTTAAGAGCAGTTCCTTTCTTACACTCTAAACCATGTACAAAAATGTTGAGGCATTCTGTTTTGGAAGTACAGTTGAAAAAGCAGTATAAAGATACAGTAGCTTCTGTATGAAAAAATCAGAAGATTACTGGTTAGCAAAAGTATTCCAAGCCTATCTGTGTGTGAATGTATGTAATGGTACACATAAATCACTGCAGTACATTAAGAGTGAAGTACTGTGACATCTGGGTTCCTGGTGCGATGGACACAGTAACAGATAAGAAGTGACTTTTTGTTCTCCATAGTCTTCTAATACAGTATTTTGGGTCTCTTCAAACTCTAATCTGTGTTTACTGCCAATAATGCCAGAAGGCAAAAAAAGGCCTGGGCATATTCTGTGTATCCTGGCTCCAGAGTTGGTGTGTCATTACCCTGGGAGCAAAGCAAATCAAAGTTTTTGAAGATGCTGCTCAGTGTACATGTTGGAATTGCCTGATACATTGATCAGAGAGTATTTGTACAGCTGTTTAGCTTTTCAGACATTCCTCTTTCTTTTTTCCCAAACAGGTGATTCACAGCCACTGATGTGAGAAAAGAAACCTCAGTTGAAGATTACTTTTCTTCTTCATTTCTGAAAATTGAGAGCCAGCAGTTATGACCATCAATTCAACAGGAGGCTTGCTTTCTTTGGCAAAGGAATAGTCTTGGCAAATGATTCGGTATATGGAAAAAAATGGCCTGAAATGTTAATTTTTGAGTCACCTTTTTCTTGTAATTTGTTCAAAAAAATTCGGGGGGGGGGCAGAATTGTTTAATGTGCATTTTTTATAATCAAGAATGCCCTATTCTTAAGCATTTTTTGTATTTGCATTAGAAATGTGTGGCCAGTTAAGTGTGGGGGGCATGTTGAGTTGGGAGAATACTTGCTGTTAAGAGTAAGTTTGGGATTCAGCCAAGACATCAAACCAGCTATAAAATGTCCCCTTCACTGCACTGAATAATATAATCTGCTTGAAAATCCAACTAAATAGCTCCTTGCAGAGAAGCTTGCTGTGTAGCTTCTGGTGTGGTATTCCAGAAAGAGCGGAATTCCTAGTTGCACTACAGTAGCTGAAATTCAGTAACATGAAACTAAGATTATTTTTTTGTCTTCTTAGTTTGAAGAAGTGTATGTCAGTATGAAAAGTAACAAGTGACCACAGCACAATAAGAACAAGAGTTGAATTCAGTACATATTCAAGAATGTGTGTGTTTCCAACACGGTACATTTAGCGAGACATACTGCAGCATCTTTTTTAGAAGGTCATTTGTAGTCTGACACCTTTTTGAAGTGGACATTTTCAGGCTTTTTAAAAATAATATTTAGCTATGTTGAACCAAGTTATACCTTTATCATTTGTTATAAGAAGCAATATTTTGTAATTTCATACTTAAAATTATTTTTCTCTTTTGGTTTAAAATGGCTTGATTAAGCAGCCTTCTTCAAAAAAGATGAAAGCACTTAAGCTTAATGCTTCTCTTGCTGGTTTTCATTATTCCTGTTAGTGGCTGCAAAAAAATGTTTGTATTTCATACCCAAAAGCTTACTAGCTGAAAAAAAAAAGTTCCCTTTTGATCCTGTCTCTGTTCTTTTTAAAGGCGAGTTACAGCTTCATCTGCAGTGAATACTTAGAAGTAATCCTAAACTTTGACTAATGGCTGCAGGCAGCTACTCTTAAAATACCACAGTACTGAGATGTAGGTCAGTACAGCGATCCAGGTAGCCTCATAACATCTAGAAACTGCATGCAATAATAGTCAGCCCATTACAATTCTAAGAAAACGGCATTTTCACTAGCATTTTATTTTTATTGGCATGATACTCACTGTGTTTGAGAAATACGCAGTCCCTGTCCTTTCTGTAGTGTGGTCCATTCGCTGTTCCTCTTGTGATAGACAAACTACTATCTATCTATCTGTATTTGTTTGGATTTTTTTAAAGGGGAGTCATACATTGCTGCTGTCATGAAATGGAACACATACTGTGTTAAAATTTATAATAGGAGATTTCATGTCTTGCCATTTACTTATGTAAAGAGGAACATGAGAACTTAATTAGCAATAGGCCGTGTAACCTAAAGGAACCTCAGCTGTTGGACCCTTCCTTGTTTTGCTGTGGCTGTCCTGAAATTAAAGCTCTGTCAAACATCTCGAAAGGATGTCACTTTACTCTTGCTGTCAGCAGGCATTTTCTTAGCCTTGTTGCCTTATTTATAAAGTTAGTTAACATTCATATTCAAAGCACCTGTGAGCAGCATTACTGTAGAGTTTTATCTTTGCTGTATTAGTCATCAGGTCTCTGTTTTTCTATCCTGAGATCAGTTGTATGAAACACTTGATACTGACTTTCCAAGGACCTAAAACAACATTGTATTTTTTTTCTCACACTGTTTCTCTGAACCCTGAGTTACTTTGTGTGGTTGCAAGCTGTCCAATACTGTGTTCATGTAGCAATGACAGCCATTTCAAAGTTCATCAATCATTTGATGTTGCCTGTACTGTAAGCAGCGGTGTGTTTTTGCTCTGCCTACATCTGTCTGTATTTCCAGTCATACCACATGTTAAAACCAAAGTAATCAAATTTTTGGCTGTAGCACAAAGCAGAACTATGATGTAGAATAGCATTCAGATCATAAGTTCATCTAAAACTTAGTGCTAAATTAACAGTGGTGGTTGAGCAACTTTTATGTCCTTTTTTTCCTATTTTCCAGCTTGAAGTTTTATTTCTTACAGTATGCACACGAGACACTAGCAAAATTCCAAACCAAGGAAAATAGAGTAATTTTAAGGTATAGGTGCAGTGGTCCCCTTGCACAACATTTGTGTCTACAATTTACCACTGTGTTGTAATTTATCTAAATAGCTCCATGCTGTACTGTAATACAGTTTTCAAATTTGTTTGCCATGTGATCTGTCAAGTTTGCCTTGGAAAAATGTGTGCATATTGATGAAAAATTAATGTCCTTAATCTGTTTTATATTTAGCAGAAATCATAGATTCCTGTAATAGCTTATAGAAATTGAGTTTTCATATGTATTTCATACACACACAAACAGCTGTTATGCTGGTCACAGCAGTTTATTTGAGTTCAAAATGGCCATCTTCAGTGTGGAAAGTGGGATTTTTTCCACATAGTGCTAAAAAGTAGTAAACCTGGATTTTAATCCTCCTTAAGTCACTAGATGTCACAATTTCATATAATCCTCCACTTTGAGATAAAAATCATGCATATTTAGTATATAGGCATAAAACCTCCCATCCTCTGTAATGGAAAGTTTTGCAGTGGGACGGCTATAGCAGCAAATGGGGAAAGTTTTAAGTATATTCACAAGAAACTTAAAGAAATTATGACAGTCCTATATTGAGATCTGTTCCTCCATAGCTGAAAAAAACTTGTAATAATTGTATTGGTCCTTGAGAAATCTTAGCAAGCATCACTACAGAAAAAACATAGGAAGATATGCAAGGAAAGACAGCCTCCATAAAAAGAGTACCTATTACTGGCATTTTTCATTTGTGGCTGGACTTCATTGCTGTGGCTATGTTCTGCTGCTAGTCATTTATCTTAAGCAGTTTGTCAGCTTTCAGCTTTGTTCCATTTTTTAGAAACTTCTTTCCTTATTCAAATTAAAACTGTTTTTACCTCACTGGCTCAGTTACAGTAAGAGTCGCATGATGTTTATTGTACAAATGCATATGTGAGGCTGAAGAATTTTTTGGGTGGGAAGAAGAAATTAAATACTCAGCTTCTACTAAAATAACCAAAATATAAGGTAAACAGCAATAGTCTTTTGATCAGATAATCAATCTGTATCAACACAAATTTCATGTTGTTACTCACAGAGGTTCCAGATACTTTACAAATAACCAATAATCTTATTTCATTCACTTTACTGTATTTTCATATGTTAGTTAATCTACCTGTCTAGGGTAGATGAAGGCTTTGTCATTTTTGTTAAACATCACTTTTAAGGAGATTTTTTTTTTTTTTTTCAATCTTGACAGTCTGCGTCCTACACCAGACCCTGTAAAATAAATTAGTATGATTATATATTATGTTCTTTTGTGGCTGCGTCAGGGATAGAACTCAACATCACTACATTATTTGTAAAGAATCATTTTGAGTATAGGCACTATATTCTGTAATGTTTAATATTAAAGTAATGATAGGTGCATTATAGAAGAAACTTATTAAGAGGAGACAGAAACTTAATGGTTAATGTTACCCTTATTCTGCTTGTTTCTGAATTTCAAAAGTGTAATTTGTAGATCAAGTTTGCTCACGTGTAATCAGATTTTCTTTTCATTGTAATGCTTATGTAATTAAATTACCTGGATGTATTTCTGGTAATGATTCATAAGCATGGACAATATGTTGTTATGTCTGGCACTACAGAAGTGATGTTAAAAAGAAGCAAAGCTTCTTGCAAAGAAAAGGAGTAAACAGGAGCACCTTACTGGGAGAGCGTGTTGCATGACTTCAGTGCTACTGGAACTGACAGACAGTAGGTCATCCTAAACTTGACTGCAGATTGCTCTTCGGTGTAATAAGCACATTGACATACTGCTATCAGTGCTGTAAAATGTACACCAATGTCTATTTTTAACCTATTAATATATTGTAACTTAAATTTTTCCTACAAAATGAATTTATATTTAATTGCTGCCTAATACAGAAATACTTAAAATAAGAATTTTTAGGAGGGTCAAGGGTGGGTGGGCATGCCCATATATTTTTGGGAGGGGCTGTTGTATATACGGTTCTTTGCACTTCCTTTTCAGTTTGATCATTAATCCAAAACCTCCAGCTCTGATTGTAGTGAATCTGCAACCTGAAATCTATGTATTTTTATTGTGATTCAGGTCTTCTGTATTCTGTGGCCCAGGGCTTCAGAATTTGACAGAAAAGGTCATCTTTCCATTCTCAAATGTGAATAATGTACCTCTAATATGGAAGATGACCAAGCAATGAGTTTTACTCTGCTGAGTTTCTAATATTAAGAGTACTATTTAAAGCTGGTATCTAAGGCTACTAACCAGTAGTGTGTCCATTTGTAACAAGGAAAACGGACAATGGCCATTTTGGTGAGTATAGTCCAAACTCTGCAGAGATTTTATTCTAGAGACTGTCACCTGTTTGGTAATTAGTTTGCTGTAGACTTGCTTGATTTTCAGATTTAGAAAAATTTTTGATTTCTTAATTTGGAGATAGATACTGGGGATTGGGGATACTTGTTTAAGATCTCCCAGTATGTTGCTGTGATTGCTATATCTTTTTAAGTTCATTTAAATACATACAAATATATCATCATAAGATGAAAGCTTAAGAAATACAGATGTCTGCAGGTTGTCTTGCATGAGTGAAGCCAGTGAAGTTTAATGAAACCAACTTCGTAGTTAAGCCTGCTGAATAAGTAAAATAATCAGAAAGAAAAGCAGTTTGCCATTCACTAGCTTTGTGCAATATTATCAGTAGACTCGAACACTACTAGCACATTGTGCTTGGCTTTAAGAAAGTTCTTTAACTCCATTATATTAAAAAGGACCTATTAAATGCATATTTTATTGTAAATGACTCTGCAAATTTACTATGCCTAAAAATACTCAATGTTATGAAGTATTAAGCAACAAGTATGTTATAAAAAAGTAAAAAACTAAACCATTTCTAGCAATACCTAAAATCTAAGAAAGTTTTAACTCTCTGCTTTTTACTCTTTTTTTCTGTAGTGCAGCTTTTCTGCAATGCAAGTTTATTGCTGTGTATTTCATGTTCTTTATTATGATGACTCAGAAATTTAAACCTGTACACAAAGTACTGCACTCACCTTCTTGTACATGCAATGTAACGTCATACTCACAGTTTTGGTGCTTTAAAATGATTCATTTTTTCTTTATTAAAGGGTATTTATTTGACCACTGTCTGGTTTTAACTTTGAATATGTATCAGTGTTAAAAAAAATTAATACAGTTTGCTTCCCACAAGAAGGAATCCATATATGGTTCATTTAGGCTTCCACTGTCATTCTTTTAACTCCTCAAGCTGCCTGTCATTGTTCAGTGGCAGATGGTTGTGCCTAAGCTGTGTTGCAGCAGGGGATAATTATATTTAGGTAACATCTTTGTAAACTATGTCACATAAACTGTTTAGGTATTATAGAAGAACCTTGCTCTTAAATAATGCAGGATAATGTGCTTAACTACAAATCATACACAC